CGCGGGGAGGCAGGAGCAGCTCTGCTGCTGGGGCCAGCCCCGTTACATTTCACAGACATCTTCAGAATTTCTGTCTGAGAGTGGAATGCTTATCTCCATGGTGTAAATTAGCTCTGTATGCGGATACACCTGTGAATAGTAGCTGGCTCTAGCGATCCTGTTCTATGGCGTGCATGATTTCTGTGGAATTGTATGTAACTGTACACGCGCTTTTGCTTTTTTGTCTTTGTATTATTTCTTTCTTGAATTGTGAAATCTGAGCAGAGCCTTTGATGTATCTTGCTACTTTTGTAGTTTTGTACCGAAGGAGAAAAATTAAAAATCTGGTTTCCCTCTGCGAACTTTTTCCTGACTCTTTTTTTTCATGATGTTAATCTGCAGCATGCCCTTAAATATTTTGAAAGCATCTATCTGCAAGATCAAGAGCTGACTTTGAAAGAGATGCTCCTTGTTCAAAACGTTTGTAGTATCGTTACTGCCGCACTGCATTTTGGTTTGTGACAGAGCAGGATTTGTAATGCTCCCTTACTAGCGTGTATGTTACATGTTGTAATGAATTTTCTGTTTTCTTTAACTGGATTTTAAATGAAAAACAGATGTTGGAGTGATTGGGCAAAGGTATTTGAGTATTTTGGCCACCTAAAATAGTTTGACCTCTCTTTGTTTTGTTGAGGAGCCTGCGTTTAAGTGACTATTCTGTATATTAACCCATTTTAATGTAAAGGAAAAAAAGAGAAGTATACCTATTTGGTGTTCTGCTCTCCCATTATTGGCTCCTTGAGAGATGCAGCCTTCACAGCATTGGTGTAATCCTTTAAACAGGAATTGCCCCAGCCACATGCCTGTATAAGCTCCTTTCTTCTGCTCTGTTGCTGAATTTATTCTTTTTGCAAAACACATGATACTTACTATAATATACAGTATTATGCATATGGTATTTGGTGCTGACCTCTTTCAGAAATTAGATGTTGGATTTTTGAACCACTGGCCGTACTAAGGGAGCCATGCCGGAGCAACTGCTTATCTTTAATATAGCAGGATGGTCTCTGGACATTCCAGCTCCCAGTATATTTTATTCTTGCTCGCTCTGAGCAAGCCAGATCCTCCCTGGAGGACCTGTGCTGCTGATATTGCTAATGCTTCGCTTCATGGTACCACCACTCTTTTTGTTTTGGCCGATGAGCAGGAGATACTGTACAGTGATTTGGAGTCTGCACTCCTGCCCATGTGTTCAGTGCCTGTCCTGGGAAGGAATTGTTTCTGCTTCAGCATGCCAGCGCAGGGTGTCCGTCTGGGACAATGTTCACACTTGCATTTAGGCTATTCCAAGCCTATCATTGTAGCTTGGACATGGGTCAGGTTTGCTTGCTGCGTATTTGAAAGCTGTGACAGTACAGTTAAAATGTAATCTCTTCTTTCTCTACCGTCAGTCACTCAGCATCCGAAGAAGCCTCTGGCTCTGACTCTGCAAGCCAGTCTGAAAGTGAGCAGGGCAGCGAGTCAAACAGCAGCTCGGAGTCCTCTGAAAGTCAGTCTGAATCCGAAAGTGAATCAACGGGTTCAAAATCCCAGCAGACCCCTCCTGAAACCAAAGAAAAACCGGCCTCTAAGAAGGAAAGGATAGCAGATGTTAAAAAGGTATTGCCCCCACTGCTCTGCATAGCCACGTTACCCCTGTACCCATCATGAAAGGGCAGAAGGCAGGACCTTAACGAAGCTGTCTTCGACTTCCCTGCCACTTTGCACATTGACCAAACAGCCTCCGACCTCTGGTGTCCCCAAGTCACTCGCTGGCTGTTTGGTCTGCGTGCTTGTGCCCTGATGGTGTCATCCTTGTGAGCAGGGGCTTGTGTGTTTGATGGGACAACCCTTTGGGCATCACGTAGGTAGCGATGGGGCTGACTGGTGCGAATGAGGGGCAGGCGCCTGTCATCAATACGTGACCCTGTCATTTCATCCTATCCCTCTGTCTTTCCACTCCTCTCTCCTGTCTCTCCTCTCCCTCACAAGTCGTAAAGCTTCCCAATATGATATATAATCAGGAGACTGCTTGTCTAGGATTTGGGCCACTTTGGTTTTTTTCCACCGCTGTCTTCCTCTTTGAAAAAAGTAAAGGAAGAAAAAACAATGAGGAGGAAAAAAGCTATTTAACTTTTATTATTTATTATGTTCAGAACAGTGGTTCTTTGTTGTGGTTTTTTTTTCTGCAGCTTCCCAGCTACCTAGCAATAGCCCCCTCAAAATAGCCAGGTTTGCCCTCCAGCTATTGCTGCACAGGAGGAAAAAGGGTTGCAGGTGTTGAATGCATGTGGGGTCCCTCTGGTTGGCGAGCACCTGCCCAGTGCAGAAGCTGTGCCTTGGGTACCTGCTTTACCCGAGGGATGGAGGCACCTGAGTAACACAGGGTGGTGTGAGGTGAGAGAGAGGAGCCCAAATACCCATTTGGAGACGGGAACTCAGTGAACTGAGTTTACTTGGAGGGAGGAAAATCAGGTTAGGTCAGGGGCTTGTTTTTGTTTGTTTGTTTGTGGTGTGTAACTATCCTGTTCTTAGTTGTGGTTTGCACTTTGCACAGCTTGCTCATGAGAGTGAGTTTTATGGAGAAAGTTGCTATGCATGTAAAGACTGAGAAGGACAGTGCTTCCAGCCTGCACTCCCCATGTACCAGGGAGAAGTGAAGGATTTTGTTACCACAGATCTCCCTCACAAATCTCTAGGCTGTTGGCTCAGGTCATGGCTAAATCTCCCGTGTTCAGACTGGCAAGAAAGGATGCGTTTATAAGGCAGCTGTGGTAACACAATATTCAAATTTCTGTTTTATTGTTGATAAGTGGGGACTGAAGGAGGTTTTCTCTTCCTCTGTGGGCTTCTAAGAGCATGTCCCTAACAATAAACATTAAAATTATCCTATGAGGGAGCACAGCCATACACATGGTGATAATTAGCATGGATGAAACATGAAAAGGTCAGGGCACCCTCTAATAAGAAAGCCTCTCCCTTCCTTAATTTCTCTGTTAATGGGTGTTTTCCTTAGCTAGGTCTAGCCTAGGCATGTCAATACCTGTTCTGCTTGAATAACCAATGCAATTAATTACTACATTATTGTTTATTTTGTATTTCTGTCTAGATACACCCATGAAGGTGAGGTTAACTTGCGTTAGGTGCTATTCAGATTTGTCATGGGAGTCGATCCCTCATCCAAAAACTGTGCCATTTAAAAGATGAAAAGACAAGTTCTTCAAACGGTTCGGGGAGTATTTTGAGCTTTTCTTTCATGTGAATTTATCTCTGTACTCGTATGCCCCACAGATACACACCTTCACAATCTGTCCGTTGCAGTGTTATCCCATTACTCCTTTAACAGTAGCAGAAAAATTGCTGCGCTGCAGCCTTGTATTCATCACGCTCTCAATCCCAAGTCGCTGCTGCATCTGGCAGTGTATTTTGATTTCCTTTTCCTGCCAGTGGCTTGCAGAGAGATTTGAGGACTGGAGGGAGAGAGAAGCAGGAGAATGAATAGTATTAGAAAACTGTAAGAGGATAAGCTCTGCTGAGGGAGAGAGGGATTCTTGGTGTAGGTGTTTGAAAGGCGTGTTGGTGGTTTGTATCTGCCCTGTAAATCCTCTGGTGTCCTGTGTCACCAACACAGCTCTGTGTTCACATCCCTCAGGGCATCAGTTCGTGTCTCCCCCTTCTCCTCCTCTCCATCCAGCAAGAACAAATGCATGCTGTTACACACAGTGTATTAAACTATTTAGGACCTGGTTAGAGCAAATAGAGCACAACCATTCCCCGTAGTCAGCTCTGCACATCCACATGTCCTGCGTTGCCAAACCACACTCGCATCAGTGCATTCAGGAGGAGAACCAGCAGTCCTGCCACCTTGCCTCACCAAAGGACAGGGTGCCCCAGCCCATTTGCCATCTAGGCTGGGCCACAGAATTCACTTCTGAAGTTGCTGCTGGCGATGTCTGGTCACCGGCCTTGTCAGGCAGCTGGTGGGGTTTTCCCTATGGAAAGGAATTATGGTGGAAGCTGTTCGCGACAGTGAATTGTCCCTTTGTGTTGGTACGTCCATTCATTCCACGTGCAAGGTGTTGCCTCCTTACCTTCAGCACCATTGCTTGCAGAGGCTGGCTATTTCAAATGCTCTGTCCTTCAGCCCAAATGAGCTGGAGAGTAATTTGTACCCTGGTGGAAAAATGGACCACTGTAAAGATAATGCTGAGATAAAACGTGCTGCTTTAGGGTGTTACCAAATACCCCAAAATAATCATAATCCTTTTCAGCCAGTTTTTTAAAGTGTCCGTCTACTGGTTGCTAATTCCCTAATGGTTTTATGTTGATTTTTTTTCCTAAAAAACATTCACCATCAAACTTCTCTAAAATGTCAGAAACAATTGGGGTGAAGGAGGCCTTCTGATGGTCTGTTTATTTTGCAGATGTGGGAAGAATATCCTGATGTTTATGGGGTTAGGAGGTCAAACCGAAGCAGACAAGAACCGTCGCGATTTAATATAAAAGATGAGGTAAGGGACAAAGAAAAAGGATGAGGGATTACTGAACATATAAAACCAACCAAACCCAAAGAGCAAAGGCAGGTCTCATCTGCATTGCCTTGTAGACAGACACTGAGTCTTAGCTTGGCGCGCGGATGTTGGAGCTCACAGTTAAGGTCCCAGTCCTGCAGTTGGATCCGCTTGGCCTGAGACCTCTGGAGTCAGCGGGACACTGCGTGGGCTGAGATCTGCATGCACTGATCTGATTGCTGGAATGGGGCGTAATGCAAGTCATGCTCTGCTATAGAAACATCCTGGAGAGAATGAGACTGTGTAAAAAAAAAAACAAAAACAAAACAAAACACAACACAAATCCAACCAGGAATAAAGGATACTTCCCAGAAGCACCTCACAACAACAAAACAGTCATTGTTGCCCATCCCGGAATGGATCACGCTGATAAATGCATTTGTGTGTATTCAGCTTTATGAACCATCACTTTTCTTTGGTTGAATATTGGGGAGTCTTTTATGCTTCAGTTGGAGGTGACAGCAGTCAGAGTCTGGCATACAAACCTTCTAATTGTTCTTTTTTCAGAACATTGGTTTTTTTCTGACAATGTACGAATTAGCTGGCACCTTCATTTGCATCTAGCAGGCTTTCTGCATAGAGCTTTTCATCTGCAGGTCTTCAGGAAGGTTGAGTAGCTATAGCAGAGGGGAAAGAAAAACAGAGAGGGGCTTAGACCAAAAGTAAAGCTTGGGACTTAGAGCTAGGTACAAAAATATGCAGTTGGGAATCTGAAGATAAGTAGCCAGATTTTCAGCAGAGCAGAGCCCAGTGGTGCTCTCTGATGCTCAGGCTATTTGTGCTTAGCTGCCGAAATGCGTGTTTGGACGCTCGAGGGGTCCAAGCCGTGCGGCAAACACAGGTCTCTGGCTCCTTGCTCTGGTGTGTTATCGTGGAGCCTTGCAACAACCCCAGTGCCACCACCTGCCCCCCCAGACTCCTGTGCTGGACGTCCCACGTAGCAGCAGGTTAGGAAGGGGCTTGGGGCACGTCATTGACTTAGCTTTTGTTTTCCTTTTCAAGTTCGGCAAAGCCCAAGCTCGCTGGCCGCCTCTCTGTGCGATGCCCCGGCATGCACTGTGCTGGCGATGTCACACCCACCACAGACCTCCGCTGCAGACCCGAGTGCCCTGTTAGGGGCTCAGGTAAGTCCCGTCTTTTTTTGTTTTACAATATTACGTGGTTTTGCAAATGTTGTTTTCTTTTTCAATATCTTTATTTCCTACTACTTAAGGTACGATAAAGTTTAAAAAAAAAAAAAAATCCGAGATGTAAAACTTTGCTATACCACAAAATATTGTAAAAAACAAAAAAAAAAAGTCCTCCAAATGACCCCGCTGCCACCTTCGTGAAATGGAAAGCCAAAATTAACTAAATTGGACCACCCCTTTCCCCCCACTCTTT